GTTTTGAGATATTTGCCAAAGTTTTGATAGTATCTTTGAAAAAATGCTTGTTTTCAGCAGAACAAGACATCAAGAAAACAAACAAAAAACAAAACAAAACAAAAAACCCATAAAGAAAGAAAAGAAACAGAAAGAAACAAAAGGAAAAAGAAAATAAAACCCCTGAACTGGATGTTCTCCTGGATGCCTTCCAGTGGGGGTGTTCTTGAGCTTATGATCATTCACATGTGCAAAGAAGCTGGGCAGGGTCCCAGCCTTATCTTGCTTGGCAGCTGGGAGCGTTTGGTACCTGGCATGGGTTGGCAGGGGACAACCATTTGAGCTTTAGCCTTGGGTGTGCAGCCCACTTCCCGTCTTTTACTTTCTATGAGACACATCTTGAGGCATGTTTCTCCTTCCTCCTAAAGCAAGTGAGAGTCCTCTCCCTCCCTGGAGCAAGGACCCACGGTGCTGCCGGCTCTTTGGGGTTGAACATTGTAAGTGGACTGAGTGCTCTCTCCTCTCCTGGGGCAGACTCCAACTCGTTCCCTGGGTTAATATTTTTGCTGTCTGTTTTCAGTAGGTTGGCCATTGGTTGTGGGTCTCAATTAAGCTCAGGCTCTGTCAAGGTTATTCATTGAGAATGTGGGCTTAGCCAGCTTTAACCCCGGATGTGAATAAGCTCCAAGGGTCAGAGGCAGGGGCCTTTGATTTCTGAGCATTTAAAAATAAAAATACTGCCCCAGGGAAAGTTACCTAGGCAGAAGGTGGAGGTCCACAGATCATCAGAAGCCAAGTTGTGAGCTTATAAACACACCCCCGTCCCTGCTGGGCCTCTTTCCACTTGCTTCCAAGCTTCCTTCCTGAGACTCACTGTGCCAGCCACCTTCTCCCAGGCTGGCTCCAGATGCTGAATGGGAATTTGGCTGGAGGTTTGAGTGTCTGCCAAACCAGGGGAAATGTCCCAGGCCATTGTAAAGGCCAGCAACCACTCCCCACAAACTAAGAACATTTCAAGAATGACTACAGGAGGATTGGGGATTGGAAGAAAATGAGGGAAGGTGGGCTAGTCTGGATTTTTTAAGGTAAGTCATAGTTTATATTTTGGGGTAGGAATTTAAGACATAGTGGGGGGCTGGGGATGTGGCTCAAGCGGTAGTGTGCTGGCCTGGCATGCCTGCGGCCCGGGTTCGATCCTCAGCACCACATACAAACAAAGATGTTGTG